GTACATTGCATATCTGTGCATGTAACAGAGAGAGAGAGAGAGAGAGAGAGAGAGAGAGAGAGAGAGAGAGAGAGAGAGAGAGAGAGAGAGAGAGTTAAATGATATTTTCGAAAAGGCTACCAGACTGGCCTGGGATCACGTGCCCGACCGGGCCAAAAAAATCAAACAATTGTTTTTTTAATTATATATATATTTTTAAAAGCTTTGTAAAGAATTTTGATGCGACCCTGACCTTTATGGTCCTTGCACGGCCGGGCAGCCCGGGCAAACAAGAATGACCCGGGCGGCCCGGTTGGTTGCCTAGTATTTTTCCCATCCGATTCATCAGGATTCAAATTCCAAACTAATGATCAGCTCATCAACAGTTATATCAACTTGTACGTGCGTATCGCCAGAAATGGCACCCAAATTGACTAAGCTGTTCACAATTTAAATAGACGGATGCAAAAGCGCACACGTTCTCGATGTAATTCCTTTGACTTCCCAGTGGAATAGGAACCGGACTGATGCTCCCCGGAATGCAAAAGGAGCCGGGACCCTAAGGTTCTGTGTTTCTTAACAAAACAAACAGCAAAAAAGATGCATGCAAAAGAGAATTGCAGGATTACCAAGGACCAGTAGATCTTGTCGCCATCGTCAAGCTCTTCAAGGAACACCATTTGAAGAAGCTGCTTGCAGCCTTCAAATGTCCATGGAGTGCTGTCGACAGTTCTTTCCATGTCCAAGGAGTTATCATGTGGATCTGAGGGTCTCGACAAGGAGTCTGAGTTGCCGCCTCCCATCAGTGCCAATTGGCCGACTCCGCGCTGACCTCTGTCCACACCCTCCCCAAAGCTAATTGCCAGGGGTCTTCCTGTGATAAAAGCTTGCCCTTGCCCATCGCCACCGCACGAACGCGGTGAACCCATTCCCGGACTCCCTCCCCCTCCTCCACAAGTATCCGCACCCCTGTATTGAACCAGCCTGCCTTGCGATGACCGCATTCCGTGCTCACTGATATCACTTCCATCTCCCCCTGCTGATACTGAATCATGCTCCATGAGCTGCCTTTTGGTAGCAAGCTGCTGCATTGTTATTTGCCCAGAGGCACCACTGCTGCTGATTCCCCCGCCTGCTGTGAGGGCATGTATACCACCGCTTGCTGGTGCGCCACACCGGGCTACCATCTCTGGTGATCCATGCTGGTGCTGGTGCTGATGCTGGTGTTGATGCTGATGCTGGTGCTGGTGCTGGTGCTGGTGCTGCTGATATTGTTGCTGTTGCTGTCTCTGGGAACGGCGCTCCAGCTGGTTGCGCAACCTCTCTGGCACAGGCCCTGCATAACTGGGCCATGCATCTACCCCCTTCAGTATCCGGTGCCCTCCAAGCTCTCTCCATTTGCACTGCAACCCTTTCCACGACCGCCCAATCAGGTGATGCCATCGATCTGGATTTGCATTCACACGCTGCACTGCCTGATCATCATACAGATTCATGAAAATGGCTCAGTGTTCTTTCATTTTCATTCTCATTTTCATTTTCGATGGACCTCACTCTTGTACCAGTCCAAAGCAGCACACATTCATGGAAATGGATTCAAACATCGTCATCCTGGCAAACATAGCAGAAGGGAAAATACTAAAATACTCAGAACACATGTAGGGGCAGAGAAATAGAGATAAAGGGGAGGAGAGAATGATGACAAGCATGGGACAGGCATTGCAACAGGGATCACAAATAGAAAAGAGTTGTGTCCAGCGCATGCACGCTTGCTCTTCATCCACTCCACAGAGTGTGCACCCCAAATGGGCACGGAGATTACCAAACAACAACATGGAAAAAGGACTCTCCTCCCTGAGCATCTCTTCTCAAACTCCCACCCCTCCTCCCATGACCCCATCTCACCCTTGTCCACACAAAACCGCCGTTTCGCTCAATCAGTGAGATGAGTGATGCCGGAAGTAGAGGGAGACGTAGGAACTCAAGGATAATACTGCAGCAGATTTTCTATTTATTTTTTTAATTCCGGAACACACCTGCTGGCAATCCCATAACCACGGTTAACTAACAGCTGATCCTGAAAGAAGTTCAAAGAACCCTAAGAAATCTTCTCCCCTGGGGCTGATAAGGCGTAAGAGGGTAGTGATGGTGGCACAAATCTACTCCCCTGTTTCTGAAAAAGAAATCACACATCCTCTAAGAAATCCTGACCGTGGACAAAAACAGAATGAGCAATCAGAAAAAAAAAAAAGAAGAAAAAAAGAATGGGCAATCAGGAAACAAGGATGTCAAGATCTCCAAAAAACATGCAGTCCAGATGACACCTGAGCATTCAAATTACTAATCAGAAGCCTACCGACTCTGTCCTCCGAGGCATCCGTTAAAATCGGGAACAACATACAGACAACTGAGAGAAGATTAGCATGGGCCCTAAACAAGGATGGAAAAAAAAAAGGACTCTACGGGGTCCGAACTCTGTGAGTGTATTACAAGAAAAACAACTTGAGGCCAGCTGCCACACTGCCTCAGTGCACCGTAATAGCTGCGGAGGGCCATTTTCAAATTTTGGACTCGAACTCATGACCTGTTTATCACACACAGGTGAAAACAAAACCAGTATGACGTCCATGCTAATCCTGTCGATGTCACTGAGGCAAGTCCTGTTTTATCGGCCAGGGTATCAGCATATGACCTGTTCGTTAACAGCGATACGTACGTAGGTACCATTCAGGAAAGTCATTACCGTCTTCACCCAAATAGAATGCCTAGTCATTATAGCTGTATTTGGGGCAACTTTCAGTCTAGATACAGAGATAATTACGACGCGTTCTATTCGGGTGGCAGGTCCCTCCCAAAACCAGCCACCATCTCCAGAGATCCGATTCTTCGTTTATATGGGAAGAAATAGACTCAAATAGACTACAAAAAATGAAGCCTAGCAGTGTCTGCAGTCTTTTTCCGCATGTGCTGTCGTATCAGTGAAGAATGTTCTTATCGAAGTTTTTGTTGTTGTTTTTTTCCGGGAGTACAAAAATAGAGTCAAATAGAGAAGAAAGCGGACAAATGCAGCAGTGGAGAAAGATTAAACAAATCGACGCTTATCCAGCAAAAACTCAGCCAGGAGTCCAGGACCGGAAAATTTGAGAAATGGAAGCCAGACAGAAGCGGGCTAGCTCAGTTGGTTAAGCAGCATGTAAGTGGCATCCAGGAGGTCGTGGGATCGAGTCCCCACGTCATCCATTCGATCCCCACGTGACCACCTGTGGTGTACTTCGGGTTCACCGGTGGAGATAGCAGGCTTGGGCCACCTGACTGGTGAGAAGGCGTTTGGACTCGCCTTCTAGCCTGCGGCAGGTGTTAGGGAATTGCTGCGGTGTTCTGGCACGGGTGGAGGTTGGTGCCAACTCAAAGGTAAGCATAGACCCATAACCCTTAAGGGTAGCTTAGCTTCGGCTAGTGAATTTCTGCTTCCTCCTAACATCCATAAGAAGTACGTAGAGGCTGTGATCTGTCGTCAACCTGCTAGGACTTGTCGCCTTGTAGGCGAGGCATATATGCAGGTAAGCTAGAGGGAGGTAAGAGAGAAGAAAATAGGGTAGGAAAAAATGCAACTGTCCCCCATATGAGAGGAGAAGACAGCTGTATTTTTCATATAAAAGTTTCTTTATGAAAGAAATTCAAAAAACTTAAAAATTACAAAAAAAAGAAAAAGAGAAGGCAACGCCATGACTACAACGCCTATCCCCTGGGCCATGCTTCTCGAATCTCCATCCTTCCCACTTTGTGCCCTTCTACCGTAGCCCTCAACTTTACCCCCCCCCGAGAAAAGGGTCCGAAATTCTCCGAAGCGCTTAGAGCATGCACTATGAGTCTATGACTGATTCTTTTGGAGGTCGCAATATCATCAGGAATCTGGCTCTGCAGCAAACCAGAGTTATAATACCGCAGTAGGTTCCAGTAACAGGAAACAAAAGAACAGAAGAACATAGTCTTGTTTTTGTTTTTGTTTTTTAATTCCAGAACTTGAACGTAGTCTGGGTCACTCGACTTACCAAATACCAATAAATCTTCTCCCCGTCATCAAGTTCCTCGTGAAAGACCATCTGAAGAAGCTGTTTACACCCTTCTTGAGTCCATGGGCTCCTGTCCACCCCCTGTTCGTTCCCCTCCAGCATCGCTGTCGCTGTCACAACTTCTTAATGGACCAGTCACACCTTGCAGTGACCCCACTGCAGCACTGTTGCATGTATGTTCGATGCCCCCCAAAGGTGGTTTATTGCTCGGCTCGGCAAAATGCCTTGGCTTCCATTCAGAAACTGCCACCCCCTCGCGCTCCAAAATGGCCTTCAATTTCACGTGAGGAAAAGAGTACTCTCTGAACAGACCACATGCCTGCGGAACAACTACCACAAAACGCACACTTGAGTGAGTGTCAGACCAACTCACAGAGTCCTGTAGGCAAACAAATGCCAGCTCTAAGCATATGACTGAACAATAGACAACAGCAGATAACTCACCACATAGCTGAACAGAGTCAGAAATAGCTATCAGAAATGGCTATCAGAAATAGCTATTTTGACAAGTTTGTGGGCCCCTCCATATTGCGATTTCTAGGTTATTAGTACTGGTGAAGGTCATTTAGAGCTCTTCTACTGAATGGGTGAGTGTGTGTGTGTGTGAGTGTGTGTGTGTGTGTGTCTGTGTGTGTGTGTGTGTGTGTGTGTGTGTGTGTGTGTGTGTGTGTTTTAGATTTTCCCCACAACAGTCCCAATTCCGCCCAGGTGAATAGATTCAGAATCAAAGCAGTCTTTGTCCTACTGCAGACAACGAGAGCATTTGAGATGTCCAACATATTAAAGCAATTTTATAATTAGACAGTTTTTTGGTTGTCCTTGGGGTACCCCTTTCATTGTTCTTGCAGCTCCCCTTTTACTTGCGCACAAGGCTGCCCACGTTGATTGTGGTTGAGCGGCAGCTTCCCACATCCCCGTGTGCCTTCACGGCCCACTTGCATGGACGAAGGCTCCTACCACATCAACAACTCCCTTCTGCCCTTAGAATATTTGGATGAGTCAGATTGAACTGGGTTGTCGAGAAAAAAAGGGCAGCGGGCGAATAGGCCAGACCTTCAGCAATGGTTCGAACTCAGGTCGGTATTTCAACAGTTCAGGGGTGCACCAACTGAGCAAGGCCGGTTGGTGTGAATTCCTCATCATTCCTACTCGAATTCTCAGCTGAAGCCAGGTAAGAGTCCTGGAATCCTGGTAAATCATACATTTTGTAAGATTTCTGATGGGACGCTGGGCCCAGTTCCCAGCACGTGCGGCTCCCCACGAATAGATCGGAGCAACTTGTCCCAAAACAAAATCACGACTCGAGGGGACTATAGAAAAGGACTTGAGCCTTCTATCCAGAGGAGCCTTTCAGTCCGAAACCAAACTGCCTTTCAGTCCGAAACCAAACTGCCTTAGTGACACTCAACAGCCCAACCCGAAGCCTACCCCAACCCCCTGTATCCTCGATACCCAAACTCTACCAGACCTCACGCCCCCAACTGCTAGGTAACGGAGTGGCGCGACCCACTCCAGAACTCTCCCCCACCTGCTGGGCTACAGGGCAAAGGGACCTGCCCCAGCTCCGGACAGCGTCGTCTGAGTGCCACTTATCCTCCATTTCCTTCAGATTCTATCTCAAACAACAACTTCAGATTTCTCATACGCTTCCCCCCGCCCCTGTTTCGAGGTCTCAATCACAAACCAATTGGTCTTCTGCTTACTTCTCACAACCCAATAGACAAGGACGAAGGCTTCGACCACATCAACAACTCCCTTCTGCCCTTAGAATATTTGGATGAGTGAGATCAAACTGGGTTGTCGAGAAAAAAAGGCCAGCGAATAGGCCAGGCCGTCAGCAACGCTTCCTTGCCAGCTACTCGGATCTGACAACGACCGTTTCCAACTTCGTGAGGAGAGACGCTACCGTCTTCACCCGAATAGAACGCCCGATAATTATCACCGTATCTGGGCTGAAAGTTGTGCCGAATACAGCTATAATGACCGGGCGTTCTATTTGGGTGAAGATGGTAGGAGGAAGGGGTTAGAGCTACCCATCCATCAACGAAGCTACCCTCATTTCTGACCCGACCAGCAACAACGCATTATCGCTGTATCTGGATGGTAAGTTGCCCCAAATACAGCCATAACGGTCGGGGGTTGTATTCGGGTGAAGGCGGTAGCAGAGGGGTGTGGAAAGGAGTTTCAGGCGTTGCAGCGTCGAGCAATTCTCCTTCTATGAATCTATGTCCGCATTTTTCTTCTTCGCAAAATCAGGGCCGATGCAAGAAATTAACATGATAGAAGGTTACATGACCTATCAGACCCTAGCATAATCAGAAGGGACACCGGGAGACGGTAGGAACTGCTACGTCCTTCAAGACTTGTCTGCATCAGTCTGGTCTTTCCTATTCATAGCCTCTTGTTTCCAGAGGTGGCTGCATAAAGCCTCAAGAAAAACCTTAACCATAGCAGATTATACAACCAAATTTCGTTACGATCTCGGCCTGAAAACCAAAGACCTCATACTGGAAATTAACTAGAGATGGCATGACCTATTGCAACTCAGCAAGGAGAAGACCGTGCGAGGCATAGGGCCTCGACATGCCCTACAGGGCCTATTTTTCACACTGTCGGCCGCCCTAAGTGAAGGCAGGCACGACTGAGGCCCTACAGGCCATATTTGGGGTCACCACGCAACAGAGGAAATTCAGGCAGTTGCGCAGCGCCAGTTGGTTGGAAGCGCCCAGCCCCAGGCTGCCTTCCATTGCATGTAACTGAGGCAGGCCCTGGGCCGGATACACAAAGTGGACCGAACAAAGGCTGAGGGCAGTTGGGTGCTGGTAACCGACACAGGCCCTGGGCCTGTTACTTCGGACTGAGGCTCAGCCTCGTGGGGCCTACCGGAAGCTTCTGGGCCAGGGCCCAGTACCTCACGAATGCACGCAGCAGCAGGCCACTTCGATATAGGGAAGGGCCTGTCTCCGGATTGGACATTCGGGCACTGGCTGCTTTGTGTGCAAGCGCTGCTGCGCTATCGCCTGCCAGGCTCACACGCTCACGGGCGAGCTGGAAGGAGCAGGCAGCCATAGCCGAGCTGCGCTGCTGTATGCTGGATGGGGCGCATGGTGGTCGTTGGGTGCAAGTGGCATCTGTGAGTTGGGGAACGAGGTTGTGAGTGATACAAGAGACATACCTGGTGCTTGAAGCGTGCGGCATTGGCGGAGATCTGCTCGTACTTCGGGGAGCTGTTGACGTCATCAGCGGCATTGTAGAGTAGGCTAGATAGGATCTGCCATCTGTAGTCTGGGCGCCGAGCACCAGATAAGATATCAACATTGGTTCTTCGTTGATGATGATGATGAGACTATTCCAGCATTGTCAATAATGAGCTTTTGGTGTGCTCTTATTTGGTGAAACTCATGATGCAATTCTGCTTTTGGTTCGAGGTCACGACTATCTGGTCTCATGTGTATGATGCTGTTTGATTGCTGAAGTTCGCTATTGCTCAACTTCCTTGCAACCGTTGTGATACCATGGTAGAAGTACAAATCATTTAAGCCACCTAAATCTCACAGTTTACGAGAGCTGATAGCTCGTGCTGCCCTTCCAGTCAATATCTGGCTCCATGAAACAAGGAAAACATCCGACCCCAGCAGCTCCCCAACATGCGTAATGTATGCGAATTACCTCGAGGAGGACATGTCCCTGTTGATTCTCTTAACCGACGCAGCCTGGTTCCGGAACCGAGTCAAACAGCTCTGGTATGAGCTCTTCACAATTCCACCCACCCCCCACATGCCCTCTCACAACCCTGCACTCAGGAAAGCTATGCTTTGGACAATCGGGGAGAGAAGATGCTGACAGATGATCGATGGTCTAACAATCGAGAACGAAGCAGCATAGTCGAAGCTGGTTGGCTCATGGGGACAGCGGTGATACAATTCAGAGGCCATAAGGACAAAAGTAATAGCCAAGGACAAACTGGCCTGGTTTGACGACGGGAAGAAAGCTTTCAAACGAGGTTGGCTGTTACAGGGCAAAATAGCAAAACGGACATTTTTTATTTTTTCAACGAAATTGAACTAAATTGGCCCGATTAAGGTCATATTTTGTAGCTTTTGAGGGTCTGGCATTCTTAAAATGCGGACCCAATGCCGGACCCCCTGGATGTATCTGCACTTAGCTGCAGCCTGGAGTCCAGGGGGTACGGCATTTTAAGAACGCCTGGAGTCCGGGGGGTCCAGCATTTTAAGAACGCCCGACCCTCGATTTCATGAAAATTTTGAGCTGAATCGGGCCAATTTAGTCGGTTTCAATTTCGTTCAAAAAAAAGAAAAACGGCAGTTTTGACCAAATTGCTGCTAGTGGGAGGTATATTGAGAGAAGAGTATAGCTTAGTTAAAAAAAAAAAAAGACTGTCTGATAGGACTGCGGACCAGAAAACTCGGAAAGAAAGAGAGGCTAAAGCTCAAGCTCAACTTTGCCAACATGCTGAGCTCCGCTTCCCGGACGGCTTTAGCCGCATTCTTTATGTAGCACATCCCACTTTCTCCATCCAGAAATTGCTGTTCACGACCTACCTAACTAGGAATGATACACACTTTGATCTACCCTCCAGCGGCAAGCTACACTAAGGGTTATGGGTCGAGCCTATCCCCTTAGGGTTGAACCTAACCCCTGGCAATGGGTGGCATTCTAGTTGACCGTCTTATTTGTAATGAGACAAAGAACATCTAAGGACTGCAAACTGTTTTGCCTGGATTGATTTCGGGCAAAACAGAACCCCGGTGCATCCTCCCCGATGTGCCAGCATGCACGGCGTGTTTCTGCAAAATGGCCGGCAAACATACTGGTGGTTCAATCTGTGTGATCACTGAGTAGTTCTAATGATGTCAGTAAACAAAAGCCTACAACCTTGCAGTGGCTCTCCAAACATTCTCTCTTTACACAGGAGAAATTAGCAGAGGGGGGTATCTCTCCCAGCAGCGAGAGGAACATATGCTTCATCAGTTTATTAGTTTTAACTTCCTAGTACTTCTTACTGTGCAGGAAATTATCAGGCAGCGTGTAGCACATTCAGAAGAACAGATCAGCTCTGTTTCCTAAGCATGTTTCTTTCGGAAAGGACTAGATACAGGGTCGGGAGGGCGGGGGGGGAAGGGGGGCAGGGGGAGGCCGTTGGTGCCGAAACTCTGTAAGGACTCGCTCATCAATGACTCCTCCCAAATGGGAGCAATCAATCCTGATGTAACGAGGGAAGTGTGGTGTTGGTTGTCTGTGCAGATATGCTGACTTCCTGGTTAAACAGGAAACTGAACGAAGCTCCCCGGCATAGAACGGAGCCAAGACCAGAAGCCCAAGTAAAAAAGGAACTCCACACGGCCAAAACGCTCTTCCCGCCCCGACTCCATTCCCCCCAACCTCAGCTGCACACCGGAAGATGATGTCCTACCTAGAGAAAACGATAAACCACAGAGAGAGAAGCCGACTTCTCTCTATGAACTCCAAGAGGCTATAGAAAGAATGGGGAACAGAAAGGCACGACGGATCTATGGAATGAAGGAGAGTTCTGGACCCACTTCTGGCCTGTTCGCGGTGGCACATCCATCCAGGCAAAACGGGTCGCATGCAAGGCCTGTTTTGCCTTGATGGATGTTCTGCAAATGGTGCCCCAGTACTTCCCGAGAGTCGTGGCAGCGTGCACACCGCGACTCTGAAGGGACGGATTACTGCAACTTCACAGTGAGGAGACCATAGAGATTCAATGGAAGAAGCATAAGACAGGCCAACCAAATTCCACAGTCCACAGTAGTTGATAGCTTATGTTGCCCTTCCAGTCAATCTATGGCTCCGCAGACACAAAAGAAGATCTGGCCCAACAGCTCCCCAACCTTCGTACTGTGTACTAATAACCGAGATGAGGACATAGTCCATTGTCTACTCTCTTGCACAACGGGATTGTGGTTCTGGAAACAGAGTCAAACAACTTAGGAGGTATGCACTCTTCACAGTTCCACCCCTCACATCCCCCCTCACATCCCCCCTCACATCCCCCCTCACATCCCCTCTCATATCCCTGCCCTCTAAATTCCTAAAAGGTGGTCCACGGGTTTGGTCACTTCTTCTCACGAAAGCTGAGCTTCGGGCAATCTGGAAGATATACACAAATGCAAGTCGGTACTGAATGCACGAGGCTTTACTTTCACAGTGAATGCATCAAGTACATGGTATGTGATGCATGGATCCTGCTCAGTTGATCATCTCAGCCATTATCCAAGATTATATTGAGTTCTTGAATCAGTTCGTACTGCCCTCGCACTAGTGCATGCACTCAGACGATTGACGGTCTGACGATCGAGAAAGAAGCATGCGCTCAGACGATGGACAGTCTGACGATCGAGAAAGAAGCAACACGGCTGCAGTTCATTGGCATGGTGGATACTGAGATACAATGCAGATGGCACAAGATCAATGGAACGTCCAAGGACAAACTGGCCCATTTCAAAGACATGAAGAAAGATTTCGAGCGAGGATGACTATTACAGGGCAAAATTCCCACGATCAACGATGATAGATTGAGATGGACGGTCTGACAATCGAGAAAAAGAAGCAGCATGGCTGCAGTTCATTGGCATGGTGGATACTGAGATACGATGCAGATGGCACAACTTCGAAGGAACATCCAAGGACAAGCTGGCCATTTCAGAGACAGGAAGAAAGATTTCGAGCAAGGATGGCTATTACAGGGCAAGATTCCCATGATCAACGATGATAGATTGAGATGCTACATACAGGTATACGGCCAAGGCGCCTTGGGAGCGGAGTTCCATAGGGGTATGGGGTTCTAGACAGAGAAAAAACGAGCGGCGCAGCGTTGACTGTTACCGCCGCTAAGCGGCGGCCTATCGTGCCAAAGAAATGCTGAAGGAAAGCCTCTTTTCTTCCAAACTTCCTCTAGCTTACACCTTTCGGATGGTGTCATGTCTAATGAGACAGAGGAGGAATCTGGCAATCTGGCTGGCAGTCGATCCTCGGTGAAAGGAGTAATCAATGCTGGTCAGCGGTCCTGCAGACTTGAAGGTATCTCTTGTATTCTGAATTGCCGGTGGAATAGGGACCGGTGTGATCCTCCTCAGAATGGATATGCAGCCAGATTCATAGCGTCCAGTTCGGGAAAACAAACGGAGTGCTAGGTTCCCTTTACATTTGAGCAGTTGAGAATGGAGTGTCCCCACACCCGTCTGCCATAATAGCACACTTGCACAGTGTAAATTAAGGGAGTATGTGTATTATAAATCAACCCGCATTCGATCCCAAACAAGTACAAACAGTATCCGTGTGGTTGAGCAGGCAGGGCCACCACATTTCTGAAAGAAAGGGGGTGCTAACCTGTAGATCTCCATGATGAAACATGATCAAAGATATAGAGTAGTAACCAGCTCCTCTACAAGAGAAACGTGCGCATGTACTCATCCGGCGCTACAGGTAAAAGCATAAACCAGAATTTCCAGAAATGTACATCTGGAGAATAAATAAGACTAGCGTGATCGCACAGGCGTGATCCGACCCGCTCAATTCACCAATGCAAAGAGCTAGATGTGTTATCAGAAATCTCCAAGATTATCCTCACTGCATATCCCATCAACGTGCATAAAACAAATTGCAATCAACAAAAAAAAACATTCCATACCAAAGGCCTGACTGTCCTACAATACCAAAATATAAGCACTGCCTGTCCCCAACCAAATGACATCCTCAATGCATATCCCATCATCCTCAATGCATATCCCATCAACGTGCAAAAAACAAATTGCAATCCCATCATCCTCAATGCATATCCCATCAACGTGCAAAAAACAAATTGCAATCAACAAAAAAAAAATTCCATAACAAAGGCCTGACTGTCCTACAATACCAACATATAAGCACTGCCTGTCCCCAACCAAATGACAAGCATTACGAACGGACAGAAGATTTGTGTGGCAGTTGGAGCTTAAACCAGCTAAAGAACTCCAACCACACCCACACTGATCCAAAAAACTTGCTCTCAAAATCCTACCAGTGACAAAGGCCCTCTAAGCTCGTTCATCGACACTCTGCCAGGCCTTACACCACGGGACCTCTGCAGCTAGACATGAGCTGTGGCATACTGATACCACACGGGCCCCAGTTAGGGCCCGGTTCTGTAGTAGGCACGGTTTAGGCCTAGGTACCGGGTCACGACAGTCCCAGCTAGGTCCAGGTAGGCCTAGGAACCGTCGGTTCACTTTAGGGTCCGGTAGGCCTCGTTTAGACTCCACCAGACCCAACGGCTAGTTGGTTAGGCCAGGTACCGGTCCATCGGTAGGACCGGCCGGCGGCGCAGTTTTAGGCGCCACTTTTCAGATTCAAATCGGATCTGAACCGTTGGGCCCGATCAACGGTCCAGACCCGAAGGCACTCGGTCGGACTGAGGCCGACCCAGCACTATATCAGCAGGGTACCAGCCTCAGTCGGTAAGGTTAGTGGCAAGGATGTTAGTCTACAGGATTAGCGCAGCACTTCAGCGTTAGCAGCGGAGAGAATCAGCGCAGCGTGGAGGAGAGATAGCGCAGCGGCAGATTAGCGCAGTGGTGGAAGAGCGCCAGCCTCCGGCCCAGCCCGTGGCCCAGCGCCATAGCTGCCTCGCACAGGTATCAGGGACAAAGGCCTTGCCTTTCCTCCCTCTTCTTCCTCCTCCACTCTCTCTCTCTCTCTCTCTCTCTCTCTCTCCTCCTACCCTCTAAGTCTAAGTCTACTTCTGGGTTACTCCTACTGGACCACTACGGGTATGAAGGATGGTTACGAGTTCTGAYGATGTTGGAGATAGCAACATTGAGACTGCAGGTTGAGGACTACTTTTGGGATCTGATTTCATCTACCTCTGGAGATATACCTTGACATTGTGAGATCGATATCTGAGACACTGTGAGACTCTGTGTTCGCGACATTTTTGGACCTTCGCTATTTCTGACATTTCGAGATACTATCTTTGGAAACATTGAGTTGACGTAATCTTCCCTCTCCTCCTCCCTTCGTCTCTCCTCCCCTCCATTCATCCGTGTATGAGAATTGACCCTGGCCTTTTCTTCTATGTGCAAGGCCAGGGCTTTACACCACCGATGTATGTTTGTGAGTGTTCCGTTGCAGTCTGAGTCAGGTCTGAGTCAATCCATGTATCTCAAGTCTTCCACTGTATTTGTACTTACTCTGTATTATCTGGCCGGTTCTGGGAATCTGCGCCATACTTATGACTGTGTTTCACGAGTATGCAACATGCGCACTGCTACGTAAACCACCGTAGAGTAACAGCAGCCTGGGGGAATTACAATCACAGCAAACAACTTCTGCGCCTCCTAAAGAAGATCTCGTGGCCAAACTCCGCATTTTCCCCACAAACTGAGTTCCCATGCTCTGCCCACACTCTTCATTTTCCCCACAAACTGAGTTCCCATACTCTTCTCCAGGGCAAAAGGTAGAAGTCCAAAAAGTCTCATATGAAGCCAAATAAAAGCAAATGAAAAAATAAAACAAAGCCAAAAACAACACTTAGAAGGCTAATGCTGAACTCAGAAGACTCGCTAACGGACAATGCAATGACAATAGATATGGGAAGTTCGAGCAACGACAAGGGAGATGCCGAGGATGAGGAGGTGGAATCGATTGGCAACCATCTGACTCCAGATACATTTCAAGAAGAGGGATCCCAGATAGAGGGTAAAAAGACCTGGAGGCAAGCACAGGACGCTCCAGCATCGGGGTCAACGAAAAAGGGGGGGAGGACTCAGGCAGGGGGATCAGAGGGTGAGAGTAACCTAATCTTCCGAGGCCTCATAAGTGTCCCTATTAGCCCACCCCCTTTTCATACCCTCTATATGCAGAACAGCACCCTCCTAGAGTTGTTCCCTATATCGACTCAAATTGCCTGGACAGTTAAAGATCTCCAATCAAACTGTAAAGAAGACAAAATGAACGAAATCCCCCGATGCTTGCGACTAAAAACAGATCCAGGCTCGACATCATTTTTCTCCAAAAAAAACATTTCACCAGAGGACCGGTACACAACAAAATAAAGAATCACTGCAGAAGAGACTAGGAAGAATATCCTGTTGCCCATGGGCTGATGCAACGAACGGAAACAGAATGGAAACAACTATTCTGAAGCCCAAATCATCCAAAATAATCTCTGAGGGAACGGTTCTTAATTCTGCACAGGACCCAGAGGAAGGGAGGTGGTGTTGGTGGGGAGCTGCACGTGCTGGGAACCGGGCCCAGCGTCCCATTGGGAACATATTGGATAACATATACGGAAAAACTCGAGATACCGGGCCATTACCCGGCTTCGGCTAAGAATATGGTGGGACCTAAGTTGGCAACAAGAAAAATTCAGAATCATACCGTCACGAACCAAACTCAGAAACTGCGAGAATATCTTCTTTTAGGAGGACAATCAGATTCTCCCCTTCGATCCCAAACCTCCAACCAGTTCTCCTACCGGGAGAATGGAACAAAATGCTCAATCCGACTCTGGATAAGATATCCACATCCATAAGGGTTGGCCCAGCAAGTGCAGCAATGAACTTGCTGAGTATTACAACTGAATTCAATTTCCTTTACCCCTTCAGAATGCTCCACCCAGAAGAAAAGGCCGCCTTACTGCGGCCCGTTTCCTTTCAACCCTTTTTTCGTGCCCGCAGCCGATATATGGGAAAGGTACTGGTGGTTTAAACCACACGTTCACTAAAACCTAAGAAGTGCACTTACTGGTATACGGGGTAAGAGCATTTTGATTCCGTCCTGGGTCGGTAGCAAAAGTGTCAGGCCACTTTGAAAAGGCGCGGTTGCAGGCTTGCTACCCTGGGAGGGTAGCTTTGTCAACTTATGCTCGCATGAACTGGGTCGGTAGCAAAGGATGAATTTCTTTTCAGTATATGAAGCCCTTCAAGAGTTGATCAAAGAGGCAGTTACCCTCTGCTCCGCAACCTTCAGCGGCCTAAACCACAAGGTTCGGAAACTTGTCAGCCTCCTAATCAACATGGACAGCGGAAAGGATTTTTAAATTTTTACCAGTTTAACAACTCTCGTCTACCCCTAGAGCGTCCTAACGATAGAGTGAAATGGGAATGGTTCTTCCTAAAAACAAAGGGCCTTGTCTGGAGTAGATAACGCCAATGGTTCCTGGATAGCTATGCAGAGCTCTCAGACAAAGTAGTGGACGAGTCAAAGGAAATAGCCAGAACTACGACTGCAAGACAAAAAGAGCTGGAACTCACAGTTAAAGTAGCCGAGCATAACTTAACTGCCATTTTGTCAAAATGGACATTTTTTTATTTTTTTAATGAAATTGAAACCGAGTTTTTTGGCCAAAAAGTCATCCAAATTTGCTGCTCCTGAGGGTCCGGCGTTCTTAAAACGTTGGACCCCCGAGATGTACGTGGACCAGATACATCTAGGCGGTCCCCCCTGGATGTATCGGGTCTCAAGCTAAGTCCACATACATCCAGGTGGTCCAACATTTTAAGAACGCCGGACCCTCAGGAGCAGCAAATTTGGACGAGTTTTCGGCCAAAAAACTCGGTTTCAATTTCGTTAAAAAGATAAAAAAATGTCCATTTTGACGAAATGGCAGTTACTTGATCACAGACCCGTCCAGCGACTTCTACTACAACCTGTTTCGGAACACCAAGGAGGACTTCCTATTAGGGCGCTAAATGAAATGATGTTGAAGTTCTTCTTCCCGAAGATCAGAGCAAACACTAGGAAGAACATGAAAGAAAGCCTCGAAGATCCCTATCATCCAGAAACCTCCTCAAAGAAAGATTGTGACATGGTTGGCTTCACCGACTCCTTCGTACGATCAATCCAACTCCGACAAAAAAAGCCAGACAAAAAAATACTCACATACCCCAAAACGACCATATACCCTGACCAAACCATGGAGTTAGATGAACCCTTCACAAGAATAACATGATGCCTTAGAAATAATGGGCAACGCCAAAGCCCCCGGGATCGACGACTTAATTACTAGGGAACGACCTGTTCCAGTTGTGCATGATAGTTTCACAAAGGCCGGATTGGACGGACGTGAGCACCAGTATTGTCTCTCTCCTTTATAAGATGGGAGACCATGAAGACCTGAGAACTTATAGACCTACCTACCTTCGAACTGTCCCATATAGCAAAGACCATGGCAAACAAAATCCTAAACCTGATGGGCAAATGCTTCCACCTCGACCAAGCTGATTTTATTCCCAGGAGGTATATCCTCGATAACGTAAAGACGCTCAATGACACCTGAAAGTAAATCCGAGTAAAAGAATGCAGGCTACCATATTATTCTTCAATTTTGAAAAGACCTATGACCAAGTCAATTGGGACTTCCTACACCAATCCATGCAGCGGATGGGGGTGGGAGATATCGGTTCAGAAAGTGGTTAAGACTTAAGAGTCCTCTACAGTGACGCCAATGGGCTGGTTCAAATAAACAAAACTCTGTCAGACACGTACTCCATCTGTAGATCGGTGAGACAAGGTGACTCGCTGATCGGCAAATGCTTCCACCGCAACCAAGCTGATTTTATTCTCAGGACGTATATCCTCGATCACGTAAAGACGCTCAATGACACCTGAAAGTAAATGCGAGAAAAAGAATGCATGCTGCCATATTATTCTTTAATTTTGAAAAGACCTATGACCAAGTCAATAGGGACTTCCTACACCAATGCATGCAGGGAATGGGGGTGGGAGATACACTCAGAAAGTGGTTAAGACTTAAAAAGTCCTCTACAGTGACGCCAATGGGCTGGTTCAAGTCAACAAAACTCTGTCAGACCCGTACTCCATCTGTAGATCGGTGAGACAAGGTGACTCGCTGACTCCCCCCATCTTCGTCTTCATAACGGAGGCAATAGCGTCCTTCCTTAGGAAGAACCTATCGATCGAGAGGTTGTCGATCCAGAACCACAATTCCTACACAATTTCACCCTCCCAACCCCACTGATGTTCATGGATGACTTAACAGCCTTGACACAGGTCGCCAACACTTCCATTTAGAGTGAGAGTTTCGAAAGCTTTCAGATTGGCTTCTGAAGTGAAGATTAATTGGAACAAGATAGTGGGCTGGTGATTGGCGGAAGGCCCCCCTCCCCAAATAGACGACACCTCACAGACGATCACATGAACTACAGGAGAGGAGGACCTACGATACCTAGGGATCATGATTGACAAGGGTGGAACTTGGCCAAGAGTGTGGCAGAACCCGGTATCATTAATAGAATAACCTCCATCAGACAACTCTAGGCTTCTCTATACGACATTGGTCTTGTCTACCCTCTAGTATATGACCCTCATCAGGTCCCTACCTCACAACTACCACTAACTCTAAGCCCCTTTTTGCCAAGGCAGATTCTTCCTGCACACCAAGCTTCGTCAAAGCGCCAACGCGGCGTCCTTTTTTCTTTTTGGTTGGCGCCTCCAGCGTCGGGGTCTGGTAGCCCCGAGCCTCTACAGAACCCGACATGTCACATTTTCAATTCTCGATGGAGGTTTTATGAGAGCGTTAGATGGTTCATATGGACTGGCAAATCCTCCAAACAACCCTGCATAAACAGGGTAGCCTAAGGCTTCATCACTGACACAGTGGAGGAAGGGGGTATGGGGCTGGTCAATCCAAAACAGGAAGCGATTGCACTACAAATGAAGTGAACCACAACTCACTCCGTGGACCTGGATGGCACTAGATATTGTTTGAAAATTAGCCCTTACAAGGACACCTAAACATATGGAAGGGACCTTTTGTGTAATCGCAAAGGAATGGACAACAAAATATGATCTCCTTAAAACAGCTCGGGTGACCCCAAACACCCCCTTGAGAGCCAAACCCCACCCCGATCCCAAGCCGGACCGGGCTGCCTTACTTGAACCTCGATTCTGGGCAAATTGGGAGGAACTTGATGCCTAGAGAGTCACATAAACCTGAGACCAAAGAACAAGTACTGAGACAACCCCGATTCGGCATCCAGTGGCTGGTAGTGTAGTAGTAGTCCCCTAGTCCCTCTTTTCCAAAGACACTATATGGCTGTCATGGAGTGTGGAAGATAGAACACCTTTGGAACAAGAGAAGGAAGACCTGAAAGACCTGAAAGACCTTAAGCTAGCAAGAAACACTTCACCTGCGACTGGCTCCTGAGGGGCACAGTGGCGACAATCAGTGACAGCAGGCTGTGTTGGAGGAAATGGGACACCACATGAGGAGTGAAGACCGGCGCTCAAGGAAACTCCTTTCCTCCGACTGTTTTCTTTTTTCTACTGGCCGAACCAGAAATGGTGCCGCTTTGAAAGAGATGGCAAGCTGTCAGTCAATCCTCCATTCACTGGAGGAATCAATGCTGGTCAAGGGTCCTTTGACCGGAGGGAAGGAAGGGTTGAGTGGGTTGGTTTATGTGTTCTCGACTTGCCGGGGGAATAGGAACCCAACTACCACTCCCCAAAATGGATGAGGGGCCAAGACCACGAGGACCCGTTCTGTGAAGAAAAGAGAAGTGCCTGCTGGTACGAACCTGATCAGGCGCTCGATCTCCAAAGCAAAGACCTAGCAAGAGTGTGTTGTGTAAGCAATGTGTGTGTTTCTCTTATAAATGCTAGCCCACCGACAATCTCCACGCCACTCCAACCAATACAAGCAAGAAAGAACCATTCAGAAGTGCAAGGTCCCCTATGCTGTGTGGTTCAATAGGTAATGTCCGCACATCCGCTCAATTGATGTGTACTTGGGCTATAAATAACAAAGGGGTAAGTCCGGTTGTGGCACAAAGGAGTTTGAAAAGGGCGACAAAATCACACAGGCAACAAACTCGCGCGCCGAGTTTGAAAGGGCAACAAAAGCATTTCTACCTGTGCACTGAGTTTGAAAAGGGCAACAAACTCATGCGGCGAGTCTGAAAAGGGCAACAAAATCACATGCAGGCCATAACCATTTTTACCGATATCGCCCTTTTCAAAGTCCGCGCCCAATTTTGTTGCCCGCACATGTTTTTTCCCCCTTTTCAAAACGGAAAGTGTGACACTTCCCAACTTGTTTTAATAACAAATTAGCAAGCACCCCCGCATCCATAGGCATGCCCTACCTATACCGCACATCTGCAACTGAGGCTGAAGCCTTAAACCGCCATCCGAGCCTCTTTTTGCCAAGGCGGATTTTCCCCTGCGCACCAAGCTTTGCTAAAACACCACTGTGGCACTTTTTTTTTTCGTTTTGCTGACGCCGGCAGCCATTTTCGTCCGGCAGCTCCGAACCTTCAAAATTTTCAGATAGGCTCGATTTCAATTTTCAAGTTCACCTACGCAATGCATAGGCGTGTTAAAACACGAGAACATCCAAACATCTTTTCCCGATACATTTTGTTGGCGCTTGCAAGGTCCTGCGGGACCAGCACGGCATGCGATTTGCCTACCGACCATCAGATACAAACAAGACCTTAGGATCAACAGAAAACTGCATTTCAAACGAGGTATGGTCTGTGTGAGTTTGTGGCGATGCCATTGGGCTCTTTAATACATTTCAATATGCCATGAAAAGAGTATTAACATACTCTTAACTGGCTTCTATTTGGTAAGACTTTTGATCTCCTCTGAAACCACAAGTATAAGACCCGAGTTTGAACGCACTAGAATCTTATACTTGAGTCATGAAATCTTAGAGGAAGGACTGAGGCCGGAAGATGCAAAGATAGACACCATTAGGGATTGGCTGTGATCGAAGTCAGTAACTGAGGTCATATCATTCTTGGCGTCACTGGGTATTATAGACAACTCGTCGAAAACAACAACAGTTCAGCATGCCCTTTAACTGATCGAACTCCATTGACACCCCCACACGTGGTTAACCTGGGGTACGGAATGTGAGTTGGCATGTAAGATAATTGAAGTTGGCTCTCATGCATTATCTTGTCCTAAAGATTGCACATCCCAATAAGTCGTTCGTAGTTACCACTTTGCTAACAAATACGGAGTAGGAGCCGTGGGACAACAAGCACAGAGGCGTAAGTTGAGACCAATTGAGTACCTCCTGTCAAAGAAAATGCATCTCAGAAAATGACACATTGCACCTATGACTAAGAACTATATGTTCTTTATGCACTCCATATGACACGAAACACTGGACGGCGGACACATGACCTCCATAACAAAAATTGTGAAGCATGGTCCGACCATGAGACACTCCAGTGCATCAAAACTCCAATACTTTCCTATGATCTCAAGAATTGGATACAAGTCGCAACTGGTACGACTTAATGCTGAAGCATGGGAAAGGTAAGCATAATATGGTTGCTGATTCTTTCTTGAGGAGGGCTGATTTCCTCGCTGATTTCCTCGGTGCACAGGTAGATGGGCGTGTACGCCACCCGGCGGAAGATTCCTATGGTACAGAAATTTTTCTCCTAGAAATCATCATATGTCTAAAGACTCTAAACAGACAAGATAGAATGGCGGGTCTGTTGTTCTCCAGTAAGGGTGGTGCAAGGAAAATGAGCAGTAGCGAGATGACAATAACCAGATTGGACAATCACATTGAAGGCCAGATAGTATCACTGTGTCCAGAAAGCAGAAATGCACCAATATAACACCAACGAAGATTTGCAACAATGAAAACCAATGTCAATGAGAGCTTGCTCTCGCCACCACCAACATGAATGTCCATGCCCTATCTCCCTAGTTGGCGCTCGGCGCCCAGCCTACTTCCTACAGAGCTACTCTCTGCCTACTAATTGACAATGCAACTGTTGACGTCAGCAGCCTACGAAGTACTTGAAGGTGTCGCCCATGCAGACCATCGCCAATACCAGGTATGTGCCCTCACATCACCATCATCATCATCCTTCTCTCTCTCCCCTGTCTTACTCCCACGTCTTCCCTCTGTACACCCGAAGACCACCCCTGTGCCTCACTGTAGTCCAAGCCCAACAAGCTATGGAGGCTGGGCTATGGCGCTGCCCTCAGCAGCGCCCTGCTCCCTGCACGACCGCACGCGCTAGCACCTTACCTCTCAGCGCCAGCAGCAGCCTACGAGCGTCCACTCCAGCAGCGCTTCCGCTAGCATGCGAGTGCCTGAATGATGCTGACGGTGGCGAGCTCTTTCCTATATGGAATGAGCCTGCCTGCCTTCGCAGCCTGGCTGGACTGGGCCTGGGCCCAGAAGCTTCCGGTAGGCCCCAGGATGTTGCGCTTGTGTTGCAGCTACTGGGCCTCTTTCGGTTGGGCCTCCCAGCTGTCAGTGTATGAGACTGCGATTCTCTCCCAGGGCCTGCATTCTTGGAAAGACCCAGAAGGCCGTGGAATGTCTTTGTTGCTCGGCCTGTATTTCCCTTCAACCGACTGGCGCGTCACAACTGTCTGGATGTCCCCCAAATACGAAATTGACAGCTGAGGGCCTCTCGTAATTAGTTAGGCCCGCCTTCACTTAGGGCGGGCGCAGATGCAACAGGGGCCCCTTAGGCCTGCCGGGGACCCGAATCCTCGCATTCGCTCCTCCTTTACTTCGATAGTCCTCTGAGAAGTTCTTATGTAACAGGCTGCTTCCCTTTCAGCGTTCTCTCGTAACTTTAGATGATTTGGGGAGCAGTCTTCATTAATTCCTCTCTTGTGAACCACCGGTCTTCTTGAGGATCAATGTGATGTCTGAACCGCACTCTGTATTGTGTTTGTGGCTTTGGCGGTCGACCCCTTCCTGGAGGTTTGGGTACAGACATCAGCTTGTGCTCAAAGGTATCGTCAATGTGCACGTGTCCATCCATGGTTGGGGGCAGCATTGATCTCCTGAAGGGAAACTGATCAGTGACAGCGAAAGGTGCCAACTTGGAGGCATGGAAAACAGGGTAAGTACGCAAGTGTGCAAGAATGCGAATCGCGTATGGAGGCCCATCTGGTTGATCCCCTACAATGTCTAAGATCTTCCAGGGCCCAAAGTACTGTGGCATTAGTTTGCGTGAAATCCCCACCTCTTGACCTAGTTCGGATGATTTGTCCCAGACTCTATCACCTACCTGAAAGTTAGAGGGCCGTCTATGCTTACTCTCAGATGAGATCATAGCATCCTGAGATTTTCTAATATGTTCGACGGCCTGCTGCAGCATTTGTTCGTACTTGACAACAAACTCTATGTTGCCAAGTGTTGCAGTGGGTTGTCTTTCTGGTAGCAGAAAGTCAAGTGCAGTTTTGGGCTTCCAACCAAGGTGCAGTTGGTTGGGGGTCATTCCAATAGTATTGTGCACAACGTTGTTGCACAAGCTGGCGACGAGAGGTAACTTCTCGTCTCATCTTGACTTGGCTTAATATAATGCCGAAGCAGCTGTTGTACTACTCAGTTCATCTGTTCTGCCTGGCCATTAGACTCAGGGTGGTTCCCTGACGTCATTTGTAGCTTGGTGCCCATTTGCTCAGTTGTTGAATGTCACAGTTCGTTGGTAAATCTCACGTCTCTGTCACTAACTATAGAGGTAGGTAGACTGAAGTCACGTACCCAGTTATCCATAAAGAGCTTGATGATCTGGTCAGTTATGGCTGTCTCAGGCATAGCAATTAGTCTTGCATATTTAGTAAATCTATCCACAATGACAATTATATGCCTTTTTCCACTCGTGTTGGTCATGAGAGTATCCATGAAATCCATGGACACACTCTGCCAAGGTCCAGCAGGGATAGGCAGGGGTTTAATCAATCCCAAAGGTGCCTGCGTCCTTGGTTTGTCACGTTGACAAACTTGGCAGGTCTCTACATATTTCTTTGCATCCTTCATCATTGTGGGCCACCAAAACTTTTGTACTAGGTTAGTTGATGTCTTTCTATAGCCAAAATGTCCAGTTGCATCATGACATTCCCCTAAAAATAAACTACGCAAAGACTCACTATTAGGAACACACGGTCTTTTTTTCCCTGCCTTGTCAAGAAACAACAATCCATTGACCAACACAAACTCATCGGAGGTAGCTTTATCCTTAGCCTCCAGTTTGTGAATGATCTCAGACAAAACTGGACCTTCTTGATAGGCTTCCACCAGTGATCGAGTGAGTTCCTGAGATATGCCAAACTCAGTGAGTAGCGCGCCCAGATAATCTGCCCACCGAGAGCACAAGTTGTGTCTTGATTGGATCAAGTTGGTAGTCTTAATTGGATCAAGTTGGTAGTCTTACATGTCTATCACATGTATCCATCGCTTGAGTGTGTCAGAGAGCACAAGTTGTGTCTTGATCCAACGCAAGGTCTCATGGTCAGATCTCACGTAGAAGAATCTGCCTAGGAGATGAACTTTGCTAGCTTTTGCGACGACATCTTCTTACTCATATACTCGATTGAACTCAACTTCTTCCCCTCCTTTTGCGCAAGGACCGCGCCTATGCCATATTGGCTGGCGTGTGTGGTCACAACAAAGGGTTCTTCAGGATCCGGAAGTTTGAGGACTTCGTAGTGCGTCGGCGCATACTTCAATTTCTTGAAAGTCGCTTCACACTCTTCAGTCCACTCCCAAGGGGTGTCGAGGCGAGTTAGATCTGTTAGTGGGGAGGCTATAGTACTATAGCTCTTAACAAACAGACAATAGTAGCCCGTCATCCCCAAAAATGATCTGACCTCAGTAATAGTCTGAGGTCTGGGTCTGTCCCGTATGCTCGCCACTTTGGCATCGTCCGGCCTCAACCCTTCCGCAGAGATTTCATGACCCAAGTACAAGATCTCAGTGCGACTGAACTCGCATTTCTCCAAGTTAACCTTGTAATGGTGCTGTCTTAGAAGACCTAACACTATTTTTAAGTGCTCGGCGTGCTCCTCTACAATCCTACTAAAGATAAGGATATCGTCGAGGTACACGACGATAAACTTGTCTAAGTACGCATGAAAAATCATATTCATCGCATGCTGGAATGTCCCAGGAGCATTGCATAGGCCAAAGGGCATCACAACAAACTCGTACAAAACGTACCTGGTTTGAAAAGCGGTTTTGTGTTGGTCCTCAGGTCTAATAGCAATTTGATCGTATCCGAACTTTAGATCTATCTTAGTAAGGTACCGACATCCCTGCACTCTGTCCAATAGGTCGTCGATGCGGGGTAGGGGCTCTGCGTTCTTTACTGTGATGGCATTGAGGCCCCTATAGTCAATGCGCATCCTTAAGGTACCCCACTTCTTAGGGACAAATAAGACGGGCACACCGTAAAGGGAGGTACTAGGCCGAATCCATCCCTTTTTTGTGAGCTCCTTCAGCTGACGGCGGAGCTCATCCAACTCCGCAGGAGACATCCTATAGATTCGTCCTCTAGGCACCTTACTACCTGGGACAACCTCTATCGCATGGACCACCTCCCTTTCCACCACGCCTGTGGGCTCCTCAAAAGGGTCGGAATATTGTGCGATGACTGATTCTATCTATGGCGGTGTTTTAACAGCCTCCCCTTTCTCAGAGACAAAGACTAGATACATGCCCTCCTCACAATTCTGCTTGTAGTAGTTATAGAAAGAGGATGCGCACATGCACCCGTAGTTTTCCACTAGACTGCTAACTCTCAACTTTTGCAATCTAACGGTTCTACCGTTGGGCATCTTGTGGATCAACACCTTTCTATCCCAACCAAATTGAGGTTGAGCAACCTCGAGGTAGTACATGCCTAGTAACATATCAAACAACAGTTCGTCGCTAACGAGGAATGAGATTTTGTGTCTCACTTCCCCCTCTCCATAAAAGAAGGAACAGACTACATCCTTGACATAGTCTTTAAGTACCATTTGGCGCTTGTTGGGTAGCGTAGAAACTACAATTCTGCTAAGCCACTGCACTTGGTCCCCTCAGTGCAGTCTATCCAGACAAGCACGACTGATGAAATTCCGTGTAGAGCCTATGTCTGCAAAGGAACCCACTTTGCGGCCACCTACATCAACCTCTACCACGAAATGTTCACCCTTTGGACCTCTACTGATCATCGCCCAAAAGTCTCTGGGGTCCTTTCCTGACCACTCAGACTGTAACTCTTCTAAGGACTTGGACACATCTCTCGAACAGAGCGTCGGTGGGTCTAAACGTGTCTGCGGGGCGATGTTCGGGTCACTAGCCTTGGCCAACGCCTGAAGTGGGGAAGGCAACGTTACCACTTCAGCACGAGTAAGAGCGGCTAACACTCCTACTGGCTCGAGGTGTTTCCCTGCGAAGTGCTCGCAGAAGCACTGCCAGGGTTCAAGGATAAGCCCACTACTGCTGGAGCGGCTACCCTCGTGGTGACCTTCTTGGCCCGACAAGTTCTTGAAGTGTGGCCATAGTTGCCACAGTTCATACATGTGCCCCTGTCAACCCGGTCCCTCCATACCTCGTAATCTAAACCAAGTTTTACCCATGCGAGTGTTCCTTGGTCGCCCTGACCCGTAGACCGGCCTACCTTCTTCTTCTCGGTCCCCCTAGCCTTTTCTTTGATAGGGGCCACGACTCCCCCATCCGAAGTCTCATTGGCCTCATCATGCTCTGTCTCATCCCCAAGGTCTGAGAAGTCGTCAATTTTCGTCGTCTGACCATCATGATCGATGAACATTAGCTGACCCTTCTTCTTCCAGTCTTGGGGAAGTTTCTTCCTCCTACCATCTCCCTGACTCTGATGCGCGGACCCAGGTTTTGCCTCTATATCCAAGGCCTTCTTGCTGAAAGCAGCGAAATTGCGGTGGTTGACGTAGGCCTCATCCACCAGCTTAGTCCTAACCTCTGCAAGCATACATCTCAAGTAATCCGTGCGGAGTACCTGCTGGTCGTAGCGCACACCAGGTAACACGAGCAAACGTTCTACGGTATTTGTGATCTCACAAACATTCTTGTACCTTTTGGCACAAAGATTGTTGATCGTGTCGGTGACCTTCTGAGCCCCTTGAGGGTCATGCCACCTATTATACACAGACCGTACGAAGTCTTCCAATGTCTGGGCCTGGGCCCAAGCATCGAAGTTCTGACCGTAGCCCTGTTGCCATTCAACCAACGCGTTGTCGATCCCTCTAAAAAGGAGGCAACAACTACGACTTCCCGCTCTGGCCTTGTGAGCTTGTGCCTCACATAAGTAGGTACTTTCCTCACCCAGGTATCCAAGTCCTCGTCCTTCTTCCTGTCGCCAGAGAAGGGCTTAGGATTTAGCAAGGGTATCTCGAGCATCCACTGCATAGGTTGGATCTGCCCAGGCGATTATTGCAGGGGCTGCATAGCCACTGACACAGGTTAGCCTGCAGCTGTCCAAACACTGGCAATGTAGCTGCCACCGTCCTAGATGGTACGGTAGAAGAGATAAGAACCAGACCACTAACTACTGGTTGACTACTTGAAAGAGGGATGCCATACTTGGGTGAGAAAGAGAGCCCTACTGGCGACGACATCACTGAGGGACCCGCAACCGAAGGGGGAGTAACAACATACTGAGGTTGTCTCATCATAGGACGAGGAGCCTGCAGTGCAGCCAGAATTTGTCTCTGGCCTGCCACGAGTTCAGCCAACACTTCCTACTAGACAACTTGCGTTTTCAGCCACGCAAAGCAACGAGTTACGCAGTGCTTGCATAGCAGGATCAAGTGTGGACTCGTCTAATGCTTCTAATTTGCTTAGCTCATGTCTCCTACTCCCTAGTCTAGCTTTTCAAGTATAGCCCTTTGCCTTCTCTCCGCTGCCTCTCTGAGTTGCTTCTGCAACTCATTATGAAGTTCTTCTGCCTGGAGGATCTCATAATCCTCTGCTGAGAGTTAGGTTGCTGGCTGACTTGCAAGCCAACAGATTGACTAACCATACCTTGAGTGCCCTGACTCGATTCTGACGAAGAGGCCTGGGACACGGCCTGTGACATTGTGGAAGAAGTAGCCATAGTTGTGCCTGTGCTGACGTCGGTCCTAGCCCCAGCACTAGCTGCAGCTGCTCTTGCTCTCCGCAATATCTCCCTTGCCCTGGCTTCCCTTCGCAGTCTCCTTTCGTCTCCCAGACCTAACTCCTGGAAGGTGAGTGGACGACTGAGAGCGATTCTACGAGTGACCCTAACGTCTTCGACTAGTTCTTCCTCCTCCTCACTATTGACAGCTTCACTCATGAGCTACAGTGTTGGTACTCTAAACTAGAACCCACACTGGATCCTACCTCAGCAGGGCATACGACCGATTAATGTTTGACTCTAAATTCGATAAGCCTAAGAAGTAGTCAAGTGGTAACCAGCACAACCCTCTTGTCAGATGATGCCGAAGAATTGACTCACTGTAATGCTCCTCGACCACCCTAGGTAAGTGCCGACAGTCCTCACGGTCACCCCTTCTCCCTGATCCCACAGTCCTCACGGTCCTGCTGCGCTAGCAGCTGTCCGCGGCTGCACCTCCTCCTTGCTGCTTGGCCACTACTTGCACACACAGAGCTAGTGCTGGCTGCGAGTGCCTCCGAATGTGACAAATCTCACCGCCTCCTCTCTTTCGGCCTCTCTGGAGGCCGAGTGCGGGCCACAGTAAGTAGTCCATTCTGCCTACCAGCCGGAATGTGGGTTCCAGCCTCTGTAACTAACTCAGAGGTTGATTTTCTGACTGAGTCACAGCCCTTTGAGCTCTGGGTAGCCATTCTACTGTCTTTTCAGGCCTTTACTCAATATACTTCCAGGGCTTGATTTAATCATAGCGGTATTATGGGTTTCCATCCCAAGTGTAGCTGGTTGGGTGTACGGCATGTTGCATAGTGTATGGCGTTATTGTACAGCCCAGCTACTTGAGGCAATATGATGTCCGAATTGAGTTGATCAGGACTTGTGTAATGTTGGAGAAGTTGCTGCACTTGTCTGTTCTTCTGCTCGGATTGGTCGTTAGCATGACGATGATTCCTTGAGGTGATCTGGAAACAAAAAAAATATAGCGGTATTATGGGTTTCCATCCCAAGTGTAGCTGGTTGGGTGTACAGCATGTTGCAGAGTGTATGGCTGCCCAGCTGCCTGAGGCAAAACCCGCAGCACCCCATTGCGAGGATTCGGGTCCCCGGCAGCCCTAAGAATCCCCTGTTGCATCTGCGCTCGCCCTAAGTGAAGGCGGACCAACTAATTACGAGAGGCCCTCAGCTGTCAATTTCGTATTTGGGGTCCAGACAGTTGTGACGCGCCAGTTGGTTGAAGGGAAATACAGGCCGAGCAACAAAGACATTCCACGTCCTTCTGGGTCTTTCCAAGAATGCAGGCCCTGGGTGAGAATCGTAGCCTCATACACTGACAGTTGCGAGGCCCAACCAAAAGAGGCCCAGTAGCTGCAACACAAGCGCAGCATCCTGAGGCCTACCGGAAGCTTCTGGGCCCAGGCCCAGTCCAGCCAGGCTGTGAAGGCAGGCAGGCTCTTTCCATATAGGAAAGAGCTCGCCACCGGCAGCCTCATTCAGGCACTCGCATGGCAACGCTGCTGGAGCAGACGCTCGTGGGCTGCTGCTGGCGCTGAGCGGCGAGGTGCTAACGCGTGCGGTTGTGCAGGGAGCAGGGAGATGCTGAGGGCAGTGCCATAGCCCAGCCTCCATAGCTCGTTGGGCTTGGACTACAGTGAGGCGCAGGGGTGGTCTTCGAGTGTACGCAGGGAAGATGTGGGAGTAAGACAGGGAGAGAGAGAAGGATGATGATGATGGTGATGTGAGGGCACATACCTGGTATTGGCGATGGTCTGTATGGGTGACATCTTCAAGTACTTCGTAGGCTGCTGACGTCAACAGTTGCATTGTCAATTAGCACGCAGAGAGTAGCTGTGTAGGAAGTAGGCTGGGCGCCGAGCGCCAACTAGGGAGATAGGGCCTGGACACTCATGCTGGTGGTGGCGAGAGCAAGCTCTCATTGACATTGGTTTTCATTGTTACGAATCTATATTGGTGTTATATCTGGCCTTCAATGTGATTGTGCAATCTGGTTATTGTCATCTCGCTACTGCTCATTTTCCTTGCAATTTGGTATCAGAGCTGGTTCGAACTGCGCTCATTGATTCTTCGCAATAGCTGTTCAGTGCTTCGCATGAGGTGTGGGGCAGTGATAAGGCTTGGGCATTGAACGGTAGGCGGCCCAGGGTCGTGTGGGTGCGCCAGGAAGCTGTGTGGTGACATAGAGGTGTACGCTGGATGATGAGAGCTCGCTGATGTCGCATTTAAGCCGAGGTGGAACTGCATTCTGCTGTTGGTTGTGCCAAGGCAAAGACCGGTCATCATACATACACTCAGTTTGCCGGCGAGAAATCTGTGGTTGGGGGTATGTTGCTCTCTTCCTTATCTACCCTCTTCATTGCTTCTTACCGTGAGGAAGTGAGTTTTGCCTTGAGAGTCCTCTCAATGTGAGGTGTCGTGAGCACTCAACCTCGAGAGTCGACATTCTTCCTGGGCAGCAAGTTGGTGGGAGATGGGCGAAGCCTCTGAAGGGCCCTGGACGAAGCACTCGGGTCATGGTAACCATGCCAACCCGCTGGGACTAGTACACCCATGCTTTGCCGCAAGTCCTTGGTTCTGCTGCTGCGCAATAGAGGTCATGCAGGGCATGCCAGCCCTTTGAACAAACACTTTCCAGACCGTCTTTAAATATTTCTGGCGGGGACTCAGTGTCGACGCTAGTTGTGATCGGCGTCCTGTCTGCGACGTTAAATAATTCCTGAGGACCTTGGGGGATGTCCTTAAACTGCCTCTTGATCAGCCAGATAAAACCGAGTGTAAGGCTCGTTGCATGCGAGGATAAAAAAGGTGCAGGGGCTGGCAGGTTCGGCGTAGACTTGGGGCACAGGGTTGGGCTGGATTGCACACCTTCAAACACACTGCTCAACCAGATGCCTAGGAACGTCGACACACAATGACTACTCAAGAGGGATACAGGGAAAGGGTTGGATTCCGGTAACTGTTCGCGGTGGCACTAAATAGATAAACTGCCATCCAGCATACATCTTTGCAGGAGATCTTATTTTTATTTTTGATTATTTAGTTGTTACAGACTTAACTGACAACTAATAGACAATTGCAGATAGATAGAAATCCTTGCTGCATGCAATCTGTTTCAGAGTAATCTAAAAATAGATTAGGGAGAGCGGAGACGTAGTAGTAAGATGTGTGTGTAGAGAGAGTGAGAGAGTCTACAGACATACATACCATCATAGAGCTACTACATTATTGTTGTATTTATTACTGGAGGTGAGAAGTGGGGCTTTCTTCGTCAAAAGACTTCAGTGTCCAGTGTGTTCTCATTTCGTGCACTCTCAACTTCGTAATTCTGCTTTCAACTCTGCTCACATTTGTCTGTTCTGGTATGGGTCTTTTGCAGTCTACTGTATTCGTTAGATAGATCAAATACAATCAGAGAGTGCAGTGCGAGGCCACTGCCTCTATGAGCCCCATTCGCCCCCATTTCGGAGCAAGTCGGCCGCCCTAAGTGAAGGCAGGCTCAACGAGGCCCTCAGGGACCTATTTCGGCCATTGCGCAACTAAGGAAATTCAGGCAGTTGCGCAGCGCCAGTTGGTTGAGAGAACCCAGGCCCTGGGCCGCCTGTGTGAATATATGGAAAGCAGGCCTTGGGGCTGAATACGGGTACTGGGCCAAACACAGGCCAAAGGCAGTTGGGTGCGTGCAACCACCTCAGGCCCAAGGCCTGTTCTCGTTCGTGCTGGGCCTCAAGCTACCGAGGCCTACTGGAAGCTTCCTGGGACTGAACGCAGGCAGGCCACTTCGATATAGCAAAGGGCCTGTCTCCACAATGGGCATTCGGGTGTTGGCTGCATGCTGCGCACGCGCTGCTGCGCTGAAGCTCGCTGGCACTCACGCGCTCACGAGCGAGCAGGAAGGAGCAGGAAGCTGCGCTGCTGTAAGCTGGGTGTGGCGCAGGGTGGTCCTTGGGTGCAAGTGGCATCTGTGTCTTGGGGAGCGAGGTTGTGAGTGAGGCGAGAGACATACCTGGTGCTGGAAGCGTGCGACATTGGTTGCTGTATGCTCGTACTTCGGGAAAGCTGTTGTTGTCATCATTCGGCATTATAGTCTAGGCTAGATAGGATCTGCCTTCTGTTGTCTAGGCGCCGAGCGCCAGATAGGATATCAACATTGGTTCTTTGCATTGATGATGATGATGAGACTTTACCAGCATTGTCAATTATGAGCTCTTGGTGTCTTCTTATTTGGTGAAACTCGTGATGCAATTCTGTTGTTGGTTCGAGGTCACAACTATCTGGTCTTGTGTATATGATGCTGTTTGATTGCTGAAGTTCGCTATTGCTCATCTTCCTTGCAATTTGGCATCAGAGTTGTGGTACAATTGCGCTCAGCTGCGCTTGTCTTCTGCCTAATGCAGTACATACATGCGGTCTGCTTGGTGAGTTGGGCCGTAAGTGGTGTGTAGGGAGGAGGGCAGAGACGAGTGAGTGGCGACCCAGGAGGTGAGGGAATCGCCATGAAGGCTACGTGGTGAATGTGGGTCTGGACAGTGTGATGAGAACTACCTAATGTGCGATTGGTGCTGAGGTGGAACGGCGTGCAATGCTGGTTGTGTCGAAGCAATGACTGGTCATCACAATCGACATCAGGTCATTTGGTGAGATTATCTATGTGGTTGGGGGCAGCTATTTGAGGTACGTTGCTCTTAACCTTATCTACCCTCTTCGACACTTCTTACCGTGAGGTTATGTGTTCCTTCTTGAGAGTCCTCTCATTGTGAGGTGTCAAGTGTGCTCAACCTTGAGAGTCGGCAATGTTCACGTGGAGCATCTGGGAGAAGATGGGCGGAGCTTTCTGAAGGGCCCTCGACGAAGCACTGGGTCACGGTCACCATGCCAACCCACCGGGAGTAGAGCACGCATGCTTTGTTGCTTGTCCTTTGTTCGGCTTGCTGCGCTATTAGATGGGTACTGAAGGGCAGGCCAGCCCTAAGTGGGAGACGAGACCGGGCGTCTTTAAATAAACACCCGAACAGGAAATCATTGGCTGTGATCGTCGTCCTGCTGCGACGTAAAATAATTCCTGATGACACTTGGGGGCGGTCGTTAAATTGCCTCTCGATCAGCCAATGATTGTAAGGCTCGCGGCACGCGAGGATAATCCAGTGCAGGGCTGGCCAGCTCAACAGATACTCGGGGCACAGCGGTAGGCCGAACACACACCTTTTAGACACGCAACGCTCTCCGGATTGCTCAGGGACGCTGCCGTCAAGTGACATTCAGGGGAGCTAAGGGAGGGGTAGATTTCAGGTGATAAGTTTGCCAAAAAAAATCCATACTGTCCTATCCACACAAAAGATTCTATTTTTGTTTTGACTGGTTAGGTGTACAACCATTTGATATCTGACAGACAACATAATTAGAACTGTATCTGTTCATTGTGCATTCCGTTCGCGAACTAATCAGGCTAAAAATAGTTTCGTTTGTAGGAATTTGAACTTACCTGTTGACCCCAAGTGTATCTACTCCGAAATAGCCACCAATTAATTATTTATTTATTTTAAATTGGTCTCTGCACTCCACTGCGGTAGGCATCTAGAGTGCACTAGTGCAGACTGTGTGCAGTGCTGTAGCTTATGAGCGACAGGGAGGACACTAGAGAGGACAACCGGATCTTGCGATCGGCGAGACGCCCGATTGCCCACTTGGCATTAGGACCAGAGGATGACACGTACCTGTTCCGCCAGCGTAGGGCGAGGTTGCAGCAGCAGAGGAGGGCTAGAGCAGCAGAGGCTAGCAAGGCACTTGCAAGTGAAGCCGCAGCTTCGGAAGCCATGGCCACCTCTGCGCAGCAGACTACTCAAGCCGGTAGTTCAGGATCTGTAGGGTCAATAGTCGCACAGACCCAGAGTCAGTCCGTTGGCGTTATGGCAAGCCAGCCACCGGTGATGACACCCGAGGAGGTGGCCATACAGCGAGCTGCTGCTCGCGAGGCACAACTACAGCAAGCTTTAGGAGAGAGAAAGGCTGAAAAAGAGAGAATGATTAGAAGGAGAGCCAGGATGCAGTGGAGGCAAGAGGACGTCAGTGAGTTAGGGGAGATGGACCCAATAGAAATGGATGATGATGTGAGAGTCATTCGGTCGGTCCTGTTAAGTGTAATGGAGATGCAGGATCACCAGACGGAGATCTTACAGGACATCCAGCAGAGTTTGGCTGTGTTAGTCGGGCGGATGCAGGCGTCACCATCACCGTTCGGGCCAGGTGCCTGGCCCGTTGCACATCCTCCTCCTTTTGTCCCACCGGTGACATCCCCATATGTAGCCCCATCATCGGTCGCTATCGTTTCCCTGGGCATGCCGTTATCAGGAGGGCTCTCAGCAGGTCCTAGTTTGCAGGTCCTTGTACAACCAGTGTATTCCCAACCTCCGTTGCAGATTGCAGTTACAACGCAACCTGCTGTCTCGCAGCCTGTACAGCCGCAGGGTGCACAACCGCTGCAGCCAGTGCAGCCGCATGTATCACAGGGTCCACAGCCCAATGGGATGCAGGGACCGGGACAAACACAGTGAGTACCAAAGACGGCCATCGCTGCTCCTAAACCCTTCACAGGGGATAAGAGGGACGAAGACCTCGACACGTGGTTGAGGGCAGTGCCGGTCTATGTCAAGCGTAAGCTTACCTTGCCGCACGAGGAAGTGCTTGTGGCTGCATCCTATCTAGAGGGTAGTGCAGCATGATGGTTGAGCGGGTTAGTGCAACTACAGGGGTACGGTCATGACTTCCGCGCTTGGGCGGTCACCCAACAATTGGATGACTTCCTTAAGCTGGTGGAAGAAAGGTGGCATGATCCTCAGGAGGCCCAAAAGGCCACTGATGCGATCTTGACACTGCACACGAGGCAGTTTAAGTCAATAAGGGAGGCCACCAACGCTGTAGAGCGTCTGATCTGTGTCCCTGGGGTGCGCTATGACCCCCAGGTTTTACTCACCTCCTACCCGAGATGCTTTCCTATGCCTCTCAGAAATCAGTTGGCACGTGAGGCCAACATCAATGTTCACAACTTCCCCTCGTTCAGCAAAAAGGCCCTAGACCTTGAGGGGAAGATAGGGCATGGACATAATCCCACAATGGACGGTAGGAAGAAAACACTGCCTCCCAACTGGAAGGCGAAGGGCCGCATTATGTTTGTCGATAACGATGGTTCAACCATCGAGTTAGACGACACCTTCTAGGAGGGAGTAGGTTCAGAGGCTGGCAGCGTTGAAGCTTCAGGGGGTGGAGTTGTCGCTGTCGTAGCTCATAAAGGTAAGGCGACCGGTAGACGCCGCGGAGGCTACAGGTCAAGGAGTCAAGTTGACCCCAACGCTCCCCCATGGGAGAAGGCGGGTCTCACAGAGGACGTGTGGAGAGATTGGTATACACGGCATACCTGTATTCGTTGTGGTCAATATGGCCATAACCAATTCAAGTGCCGCAACAAGAAGGTGACCGATAAGATCCCGCCTACGATGGGGCAGGTGTTGGGATCCTCCCATCCCGTTGGTAGCAATGTAGCTAGTACTTATGGCACTGCTCCGGGAAACACGTCGGGCTAGTAGGAATAGTAGTTCCTGCTAGGGTCGAGGTGGTGGAGACACCCTCACCATCTCTCGAGATGGCCCAAGCTACTGACTCCAGCGTCGTCCCGCAAACACGTCCAGACCCATCGAGCCTTTGTTCGATGAATGTGTTTGAGTTCGTAGAGGAGCTAGAGGAGTGGTCTAGATCGGACCCGCTAGCTTCTTGGACGGCTCTAGTCAAAACCTCGAAGGGTGAGATGTTCGTCAGCGATGTGGTCATTGGCGGCCGCAAGGCTGGGGCCTATTATGACACTTGCTCGACTAGGAACTTTATCAGTCGCGCATGCGTTGAGAGGCTGCGCTTACAGGGGCAAGTGCAGCGCCTGAGTCGACCTGTGGAGTCGACCTGTGCCAACAAACAGCGCATGGTAGTCAACGACTACCTCCAAGATGTTGAGTGTTGTTTCCCGTACGCGAGAGGGGAATTGAGACATCGCGTCTTGTTCCTAGTGAGTGACGAACTCCCCATGCACATGTTGTTAGGTATGTACTACCTCTCTGTGGCACAGCCCCAGTTTGACTGGGACCGAAAAGTGGTCAAACACACTTTGCCAGGTGGAGGGACTGCCAGATTGCGTAAGTTTAAAGCTAGTAGTCTGATTGAGTCCCACGGATGCATGTGTGCGGCCGCGTTCTACAATTATTATAAGCAAAATCAGGAGGAGGGTATGTATCTAGTTCATGTCTCTGCTGCAGGCAAGCCGGTGAAAATGCCGCCGGAGATAGAGGGAGTAGTTGCTAAGTACCCTGATCTATTTGAAGAGCCAACAGGGGTTGTTGAGAGGGAGGTCGTCCACGCAATAGAGATTATCGCAGGGTCTAGCATCCCAAAGGGTAGGATCTATCGGATGTCTCCAGGCGAGCTCGATGAGCTTCGCCGGCAACTCAAGGAACTCGTAGAGAAGGGTTGGATCCGACCGAGTGTCTCTCCTTATGGGTCTCCAGTACTATTCGTACCTAAGAAGAAGGAGGGAACACTTAGGATGTGCATTGACTATAGGGGCCTCAATGCCATCACTGTTAAGAATAGAGAGCCCCTACCGCGCATCAACGGTTTGCTAGATAGAGTGCAAGGGTGTCGGTACTTCAGTAAAATAGATCTGAAGTCCGGGTACCATCAGATAGCAATCCGGCCTGAGGATCAACACAAAACCGCATTTCGGACCAGGTACAGTCTATACGAGTTTGTGGTGATGCCTTTCGGTCTTTGCAATGCTCCTGGCACCTTTCAGCACGCTATGAATCGGATCTTTCATGACTACTTGGATAAGTTTGTCATCCTGTACCTCGATGACATACTTACTTTTAGTAAGACTGTCGAGGAGCACGTTGCGCACTTGGACAAAGTCCTGAGTCTTCTGCGACAGCACAAGTTCAAGATCAACGGTGAGAAGTGCGAGTTTGGCTGCACTTGTGTCTTGTACTTGGGTCATGAGATTTCCACGCAGGGATTGAAGCCCGATGACGCGATGGTGGCTAGTATTCGTGACTGGCCGCGTCCTCAGTCTGTGACTGAGATGAGATCTTTCTTAGGGATGACCGACTACTATCGCAATTTCGTGAAAAACTATAGCATAGTTGCCGCCCCTTTGACTGATCTGAAGCATGCGTTGACACCCCATGGGAGTGGCCTGAGAAATGAAAGGCTGCTTTCAGACATCTGAAGCATGCGTTGACGCATGACGAAATCTTAAAACTTCCCGATCCTGACAAGCCATTTATAGTGACTACGGATGCTAGCCAATATGGCATAGGCGCCGTACTTGCACAACAGGAGGGGAAAAAGTTCAGGCCTGTCGAGTACATGTCCAAAAAGATGTCGTCTCAGAAGTTGGCAAAGTCCACCTATGAGAAGGAACTCTATGCGTTGTACAAGGCTCTGACCCATTGGAGACACTATCTCCTTGGGAAGTTCTTCATGCTCAGGACTGATCATCAGACCCTGAGATGGATGAGAACTCAGCCGATACTCTCTGACGCTCTCACGCGTTGGATCGAAGTCATAGAGTAGTATGACTTCGAGCCCCAGTACATCAAGGGCGAGTACAACAAGGTTGCTGATGCCTTGTCGCGTAGACCTGATTTCTCATGTGCGCTGATCACTGAGTTTGGGCTTGAGGACAATGTTACTCAGTCCATGGTGGAAGCCTATCGCGAGGATCCGTTCATGTCGGAGATCATCCGCAGACTCGAGGCAAAGGAAAAAGTGACTTCTGCTGAGTTTGAGTTGGTCAACAACTTGTTGTTCCTTGACAACGCTAGGAATAAACGTTTACGTGTTCCTAATAGGGAGTCTTTGCGTAGTTTATTTCTAGGAGAATGTCATGATGCCACCGGACATTTTGGCTTTAAGAAGACTGCAGCCAATCTGTTGCAGCGATTCTGGTGGCTCACGATGATCAGAGATGCGAAGCTGTACGTGGAGACTTGTCATGTCTGTCAAAGAGACAAGCCACACACTCAGGCTCCTCTTGGGCTTCTGAAGCCCCTTCCAATTCCGGAAAGGCCTGGTGAAAGCTTGTCCATGGACTTCATGGATACACTGGTCACCAGCAAGAGTGGGATGAGGCACATCTTCGTTATTGTGGTCAGATTTAGTAAGTATGGTAGGTTAGTAGCGATGCCGGAAACAGCAAAAACGGAATATGTGATTAGAATGTTCAAAGAGAACTGGGTCAGGGATTTTGGTTTACCGAAGTCCATTATAAGTGACAAGGATGTCCGATTTACCACCGAGTTGTGGAAGGCAGCCGCTGCGGAACAAGGAACACCGTTGCAAATGACTTCTGGGAACCACCCAGAGGCCAATGGCCAAGCCGAGCAACTGAACCGCGCTGTCCAACACCTGATGAGGCATTACATCAAGCCCAACCAGGTGGACTGGGATGAGAAGCTTGCTCTCATCGCCAGCCTGTACAACAACGCGGTACACAGCGCTACCGGGGTGAGCCCAAACCGCTTACTACTGACTTTTAAGCCTAGACTACCCGTGGATTTTCTATTTCCTAAGAACCAGTCAAACTGCTGCTCCGGGTACCTTAGAATTTGCTTACCGGTATGAACAGAAGATGCAGCAGGCTGTAGAACAGATGCAGAAGGCACAGGCGGCTATGATAGAATCTGCGAACAAACACCGCCGTGAGTCTTCATTTCAGGTTGGGGACAGAGTCTGGGTTAAGTCTTCAGAACTGGGACAGGAGCACGGGATCTCCCGCAAGCTCATGCCACAGTACTTTGGACCATGGGAAGTCTTAGATACTGTTGGGACTGATCCGGATGGACCTTCTTATGTAATCCGGATCCCTGGTCATCTTCGTACTTACCCTGTCTTTCACGCCTCCAAACTTGCACCTTTTGAAGAAACTGATCAGTTCCCCTCTCGTCGCTCAATGCTGCCCCCAACCATGGACTGAGAGGTGGATATCGACGATATCGTGGACCACAGGGAGCTGCCAGTGTCAAGACCAACAGGCAGGGGACGTCCTCCGAAGCTGCAGTACCGCGTCCGGTTCCAGCATCACACTGATCCGAAGGAGGACCGCTGGCTCACCAAGGAGGAACTCATGCAGACCGCTCCACAAGTTGTAGCCCACTACGAGAGATCTCTGCAGAAGGGGAAGCGCCCAATGGTTGAAGACTGAGCTTCTCAGAGGACTGTTGAAGCTAACGAGGCGGGAATGCGAGGCCACTGCCTCTATGAGCCCCATTCGGCCCCATTTCGGAGCAAGTCGGTCGCCCTAAGTGAAGGCAGGCTCGACGAGGCCCTCAGGGCCCTATTTCGGCCACTGCGCAACTAAGGAAATTCAGGCAGTTGCGCAGCGCCAGTTGGTTGAGAGAACCCAGGCCCTGGGCCACCTGTGTGAATGTATGGAGGGTACTGGGCCAAACACAGGCCAAAGGCAGTTGGGTGCGTGCAACCACCTCAGCCTGTTCTCGTTCGTGCTGGGCCTCAGGCTACCAGGGCCTACTGGAAGCTTCCTGGGACTGAACGCAGACAGGCCACTTCGATATAGCAAAGGGCCTGCCTCCACATTGGGCATTCGGGTGCTGGCTGCATGCTGCGCTGAAGCTTGCGGGCACTCACGCGCTCACGGGCGAGCAGGATGGAGCAGGCAGCCATAGCCGAGCTGCGCTGCTGTAAGCTGGGTGTGGCGCAGGGTGGTCCTTGGGTGCAAGTGGGATCTGTGTCTTGGGGAGCGAGGTTGTGAGTGAGGCGAGAGACATACCTGGTGCTGGAAGCGTGCGACATTGGTCGCTGTATGCTCGTACTTCGGGAAAGCTGTTGTTGTCATCATTCGGCATTGTAGTCTAGGCTAGATAGGATCTGCCTTCTGTAGTCTGGGCGCCGAGCGCCAGATAGGATATCAACATTGGTTCTTTGCATTGATGATGATGATGAGACTTTACCAGCATTGTCAATTATGAGCTCTTGGTGTNTCTTTGCATTGATGATGATGATGAGACTTTACCAGCATTGTCAATTATGAGCTCTTGGTGTCTTCTTATTTGGTGAAACTCGTGATGCAATTCTGCTGTTGGTTCGAGGTCACAACTATCTGGTCTTGTGTATATGATGCTGTTTGATTGCTGAAGTTCTTCCTTGCAGCAGTATGATGAAAATCGTACGCTGTGTTCGGGAAGAATGAACCATGTGTCAACACTGTCAAGCTTTTTAATTAGATTATTTATTCGTTTTCTATCACTTAACCAATCGACGAGTAGCCACAGTGACTTATTTCACGGGCAAGGACTCGGAAATTTTGAGTTCTTATTGATTGGTGACTTGCACTAACCACTCTAACCGGGTTGCATGTTATAAATGCTCACCAACCAGCAATCTTCATTTCACTACAACGAATACAAACGAGCACAGACCATTTAAGAGTGCTACGTCCTCGACACTTGTGTGTGTGTGTTAAGCACTCTTGCCCACAAAGTCACTATGTGCTCTGCACGCTACAGCCGGGGGAGTTTCGCCCGCCACACACACCCTCTGAGCCTGTCCACATATCCCGAATGGCAACAGCCTGAGCGTGATCACCGACCGACAACACAGAAGTGTGGATTGGACCCCTTCTGGGACACCAGGAGTTTGACCACCTAAAGCACCTTGGCCCCCAACCATGTGCTCTCCGAACGAACGGTTCATGGGAATGCCACCCACAGCAGGAACTCTCTGAACCCACTCACAGAAGTTTGTCCAAGCCTTGGGGACCACCTTTTCCAAATCAAATTCTAGGACCCGGCTTTACATGGCCATCAACACAATCCACACCCCATACCAATATAAGTCTTACCTGGATTGACCACTGAGCGGCGAAGGGCAAATGCGGTTAACCACCAGTACACCCAAGCCTGGAGGCGCTGCACTCTGTGCCAAGCTTTCCAGACCCGCCAGTGGTGCACGTTTTTCCTTTTTCGGCTGGCGCCTCCAGGCATTGTGGTCCGGTAGGCCCGAGGCCCGAAATTTTTGGAGTAGGTGATGAGCAAATCTCCACAGGGCCGGGGCCGTGTACGAGCGGTTTTATGCAGCAGCGAAGCATCAACACAATCCACACTCATACCAATAGAAGTCCTAAGTACCAGCATTGACCACTGACCAGCAAAGGGAACAATCGAAAGAGAGAGGGCAAATGATTGTATGCAGCCAATGCAACTTGACATTCCAGCACAACAAAAGAATTGCCTGCTACCGTCTTCAGCTGACTAGACCGCCCGGTCATTATCACTGTATCTAGACTGAAAGTTGCACCAAATACAGCTATCATGACCGGGCGTTCTATTCGGGTGAAGACGGTAGTAAAGGAGTGATCCTAGCAATATAAAAAAAGTTGAACTGTTCTGTTATGGATATGACAGCGGTGGTTGTGCAATAACAACCACTTTCAAGTGATTTTTTCTTACACTACGTTGTGATGGGATGCACCATTTAGCTCGCCTTGCAGATCACCATGCACATTTTCTCGTTAGTACGTCATGGACCGGTGCGGCGGTGCCAGCTGACTGGCATGGCAAAAAACCATGTCATCAATACCCAACCATACCCAGAATTGTTGGGTAGTGATCGTCGGTATGGAAATGACAATCCATTTATGACCATGGCTTGCTGACGCCCTCTCTACGCGTCGGTGCTGCAAGTGAGGCTCCTCAAACCAATTCTAACACGTCCGCGGCGCATTCATAGTTAGTACCCCACACCATCCGCAGAGAGAAGTCTCCCCTTGCAATAGTTTTCCGATCGCATCCGATTCCCACTCTCTCCCCCACACCTCACACAGTGGACGCTCAGTGAATAACTGATTCCATCAAACGAACGTGGAAAACAAAGATAGGATAAAGAACTGTGAGACAGTCGCTGCGAACAAAAAGAAAGGTGGAAAACAAAGATAGGATAAAGAACTGTGAAACAGTCACTGCGAAAAAAAACGACAAAAAGAAACAGTTGCTGCTGACACAGATTCACAGTCGTCTCAGACAGTAAGAGGGACAAAGCAGCTAGCAGAACTTTCTATCAATATGATGAGCTAGTGAATATAGCTCTATCAAGATGACGATGAGGAATTGAATAGCACGGAAGCTGACTTGGGCATTTACGAACATTGAGTTGGTTATAATTGACTCGGGTTGCCTTGGGTCACAAGGGGTTGGCCAACATTGAGTTGTACATTTAGTGAATACCTTTGGAAACTACCTGTGGGCCAGGTTACATCTGACTCAGGTTGGCTTGGGTCACAAGGGGTTGGGCAGCTGGGATAATTCGTCTGAGTCTCTGCAAGCCTCAGAAAGATCACATTACCGGAAGTGGTACAGGTAGGCCAGGCCTGACGCACCTGCATCTTGCACGGAGCCTCCCCGTGTTGCCGTGCAGCCTCAATCAGTATAGAGGCAACAACTGGAGATCGCATCCTGGATATAGCAGAGGTGCATCTCCAGAGCAGGCAATAGCTGCTGCTGCTGCTGCTCCTCCGCTGCCACCGCCTCCAGTACCCTCCTGGGGGACGACATAGAGAAAATTAAGAAAGCAGTTGACCGTTCTTCACCCCCCACAGCACCTCGTACCGCTCGCTCTACTCCTTTGTGTCGCACCTCGGTTTGCACGGCTTCCAGACTGCACACAACGGTTTGACAGAAGACACCATCAAAAACAACAGCGGAGATGCAGAGCACCAGATACGGCTTTCCAGCTGTGACGTTGCCAATGAATTCACACGTTCTCCTGGGCCAGCTTCCCGATTTTCATGGTCTCTCTTCTCAACTGAATCTCCTCAACCTGGCTTCATCAACATAACCAAAAATATCCAATGCAGTGGCCAATCTGCTCCGACTCAGAGTGAGCAAAATTGTAACCCAGCCCAGCTAGATCTCTCTGTCAGCAACATAACCAACAAGCGTCAAGCCCCACTGGTGATATGTTCATGCTGAGAAAGTACGAACCTGGCCACTTGTTCGACCACGTTCATGCTTCGGGAGCACCAGTGGGGCCTGCCCCTAAATATTCCAATGCAGTGGCCAATCAGTTACCACGTTAAAGTAGGTGAAAATTATATAGAGGCACACCGACTGCAATTGTATAGGCATTGACGTTCCAGCCCGTCTACAAATTGGACATGACATGTCAGGGTGACGTTCATGAGTGTGTGTGTATGTGTGTCTTAAAAAAAAACTCTCTCTCCCTCTGATCCCATCCACAAATCATCACGAACTGTGTTAAAAAAAAAACGAAACTCTCTCTAACTCCATTCACAAATCATCACAAACCATCCATAAAACAAAAGAAAATGTAGATAGGCAATATAGTAGAAAATGCAAGGTGAGTCACGTTTGTGCAGTTAAGCGCCAAGTGCCCACACACCTGTCTGCCGGACAAGCAGCACACTTGCACAAATTACAGCCTCGTGATGATCCCATGAAACTACGACAAAACAGTTTGCCACAGCCCCTCGTTTGTTCTCCTCTTCGTCTTCTCTGTCTACGGTTTACTGTGCAGCTCTGTTTGACGATATATCTATATATCTATATCTATATATCGTCAAACAGAGCTTCCCGGTAAACCGTAGGCAGAGAGGGAGAGATGAGTCCGTGAAACTCCGGCTAGACAGTCGGTCACAGCCCCTTGTACATTGTCCTCTTCCGCCAATCCGCATT